GGGAATTCTATAAAGGTAATAAACAACACAAATCAATGATGATTTAATATAAACCTTTTTGAGAACTAAACCTAGTACATGTAAAAATAACATTTGCCGAGTTACAAACAACTAAAGGAAATCATAATGTTCCGTAAGTATACTTCTGTACGGAATTTAAAAAATGAAATAAACTGTTTGCACGTGCCACCCTACGTTCTTTTTGTTAAGTCACACGGTTCAGTTTCATTTCATTAAATGGTTTCGGTATGCAACGGAAATAAAGACAGTTTTCTTTGTGCACAGGAAAATATTTGGAAATTAAATTATTTTGTATGCAACACAAATGATTGTTTTTTGCTCAAATTAAGAAATCTTTTATGCATACTTGATGTACTTATTTCAGGAAATGTATAAGATTCTTAAATTTTGAACTTTTGTGAAGAATTGGAAATTTCGAATATGTAAAATATGAAATGCAATGTAATTGGAATTGGATGAAGGGCACAATAATGTGCTTTGAAGATCAGGTTTTGATATAATAGTAACTACTAAAAGCGACTAACCTACAAAATAAAATATTTTCTCCAATAAAACTCTTTCTTTCATTCAACAGTAGTCATTGAAAAACTATAATGGGAAGTTTCAATAAAATGTAACGCAAATTTGACTGTATTGTCTAGAAATTGTTTAATAAACTACTTGGATCAATATCTTTCAGATTGGATTGCTAGTACCAGACGTTTCAGCAAAAAGTACAAAAATGTGTATGTTTTGAGAAAGCGAGTTAATAAATTACTTATATTTACGAGTATATCTCTCAAATTTCATTGTACAATTGTGTATGTATGTCTGCCTTATTAAAACAAAAGGAATGACTAATAATGTTGGAAAAAAACCCTTAACGCATTTCCACTTCCGCAATGTATGATCGAAGAAATCTCCACTTAACATCGTATCCAGACGTCGTTTCTCTGAAGAACAAATACTCGATCGCGGGTTAGGTAATGGCTCATAATCGTGTAGCTAGTGGAAAGAACAGTAAATCTCCCCACTGACGCTTTTATTCTCTCGTGCACAGCTTTACATCCCGAAGCCGACCAGCCAACCAGCAGCCGCCGGCAATAAATCCGCGGGGAAATCATCCGCACCAGAATAACCTCCCGCGTCGCCGCGATGGTTTTGTTGCAGCCCAAGGCGCCGGGGAGGGGCAAGACTTCCGTCCTATTCCGTTTGGCTTCGTGTTTTCGCATTCAAATACTTCCCTCGACTGTTTTACACGTGTTAGCAACACGATCGTTTTTCCGTCTCCAAACAGAGCCCCTTCGCTGTGGGTCACGTACACACATTGATTTATCACAGTTGAGAGCTAAGTGATACGTTCACCATGTAAGACAAAGTAAGTCACAATCCTCTCTAACGAAATTACTTAATATTGTTGATAAATGTTAAGATAGTCTGTACCTAATTTCGTTGTTTCATCTCGTTTGCAATTCCTCTTCATCAATTTCCAGTAGTATCATCGTGCAATAGTTCTTTTTTTCAGAATTAGAAATGTAGACTTTCCGGAACAATCTCATTACCACGTAGAATATAATCGTCTTCGATAATAAGTTCATGATACACAGTGCACACCATTTTTAGGTGAACAACTCATATGGTATTTAAAAATTACCAGATATAAAAAAAATAGATTTAATAAATAAATATACTTGTACAAGATAATATTTTAAATTTCAAAGAACATATATGTGTTTTCATACACAGTACTGTTTTTTATCATATTCTCGTTTAATAGCGATTTTTATCACTTCTTTCAAAGCAATATCTCAGGAAATTTACTATATTTTAGTACACACTTTTGAATACAATCTTGATTTGGTTTGAATGCTAAGTTCAGGATATGAAAAGAAATATTATATGTATTCAGTGTATGTTGTTCATATGTATCATTTTAAGAAAACTACCTCAGCCTTGTTTTCAGAAGGTCAATACGGTGCCCTGACGTGTAAACCAACAAATGAAAGACAATGAGCAATTCAGAAGACGTAACGTATTGGAATTCTAAAGGCATTTCATCTATAATTACTACCTACATTTTTCAAAATGCGGATCAGTATGATGTTCAAGTTGCGTTACAGGACACTGTTCAGATCACGGTTTTCCGGAGTAATTGAGAATTCTGATCGAATTTTAAAATGCGGAACAGGATGAAGTTTGACGTGCGGTTCAGAATGCACAAAATGCGGTTCACAAAAGGAAAGTTAGGACGGTGTAGGGCAGAGCGGGGTCGGCCGTGGGTTGGGAAAGGGACTGGGAGATCGTGAGCAGAGAGGTGGGACGCGGCAGATCTGGAGAGACGGGCCGGGGGACTGGCCGGAGAGCGGGACGGGAGCCGGACGGGGGCAGGACCAGGCCCTACTGGGGATGAACCGTGGCCGAACCGTGGCGGGACGAGGGCCGGACGTGGGTCAGTGGAAGGGGGCCGGGGGACGGGAAGGGGCACCACAAGTGGGTTGGCGTGTGGGCGGTTGGCGTCCGTCGTCGTTCCGTTCCGGTGGCGCGTAGGCCGCGCGACGCGACGCGAAGACGTGCGATCGTAAAGTGTCCCGTGCCTCCTGCTGCCCACACCCGCTTCCTCGCCCGCCGCCAGACGGACCGGCGTCGATACGGCCAGAGGAGGGGTGGCCACTGCAGTTGGCAGGGCGGGAGGCAGGTGGAAGCAGAACTGGTGGGATACGCAGGGATGTCGCGTGGCGAGCGAGAACGGCACGGAACTAAGAGAGACGGGGTTGTCGCAGGTGTCACGACGCGGAGGCAGAGCGGGTGCAATAGTGGGTGGTTCAGTGATGGAGACGTAGAGGAGGGAAACGGTGGTGCTGCAAGACGGTGGGGGCTGTATCAGAGCGGCCGAGACGTTTTACGACCGCGAAGGCTGGGCTCGATCAGAGACACATGTGCGCACGTGATTGCGGCTCCCGCTGCCACCCATGCGTCACACTTGTTGTAGGTCGAAGCATCAATGTCAGACATTTTGTCTGAACTTTGCCCGTTTTCAATGAAATTAGTGAAACAATAAAAATAAGGTAAACTAGAAATGGGTACAGATATAATTTTCATAGAGATTCACAGCTATTGAATCGCTTGTTTAATATATTACCATGGTAAATTTGTGTTCATAGATTCAGGTGAGTATTGTGCCATTTAAATTTGTCTATGAGTAGTGGTTGTCTTCAGATAATTATTTAAATATAAATTTTAGTGATGAAGTTCTCGCTTAATGAGGCGCTTAAGAGAATTGTACGAGGTAAGATAAAGATTGAGTTAACCTTTTTTCCTGCAATTTAACTTTATAGTTTAAAAATTAAAATTAAAATTGGGATGCACATAAAAAGTTATAAAACAATTCTTTACATTATTTCCGATATTAATATTTCAAATTAATTAACACAATTTAGGCCTTCATATAACATCCACATACATGCCTGCCGCAGTCTAACACAGAACAGAGAATTTCTTTCACTTGAAAATTACATCAGAGGGCTACATAACATTGAACTACATTGTGGTGTTAATATTACAGACAATGCTAGTAAGTAATACGTCCTCTATGTACTCGTAAAATTCTATGAGTTTAAGAAACCATAAGGCCATGAAACGCCTCACTCTATTTGTTAATAGTTAATGTTTTCGGGAAAAGTAGGAACTTTTATTAACATTTTACTTTATTGGTTGCAACATGTATTACATTATCGCAGATTACGTCTGATAACAAATTATCTCTCTCTCAAATTCCCCTTTCTCCTCTCAGTTAGTTACCAGGATCCAGAAGTTACCTCAGGATCAAGGAAATTTGAATTATTCAGACCAAGAGGAAATATTCAAGTGTTGACTAAAAACTATCAGTGACTTTGAAATAATAAAATACACTTCGATAAAATTTCTTGAAGCACAGAATTCGCATGTGTTTATAATTCCAACTAAAGGGGAATACCTAAGAATGAGAGAAAAAGAGGTTTCAGCTGCTACTGGAATGAACGTATTTTAGTCACAACAACCTGCAGATTGGACCACGCTGAAATAAATGAGTCATTAAAATAGAAAAAAACATTGTTTGAGCGTCACAGTAGAGATTAATGGAACAATACAAGTATAAAATTTATTACTTTCACTACATAACAAATATATTAACACACACACAAGTTAACTAATTTATCTACAGGGTGGTTTACAAATAGTACTACACTGATGGGTCACTTTTTTAATTTTAAAGAGTCAACTTGAAAAAGTCAATTTTTCAACTCCATTGAAATGCTATTCGTTATGAGAGTAAAACTAAAGGTTCATAAAAGTAAAAACAAACCCCACAGTCTCCAAATAACTTTCAACCTACAACGTCCTTCAATAAATGTATTTTAATTGAACCCTCGTTAACACGAATTCCAAGGGAATGAAATAATCGATGTTCTTGTTATAAAAATTTGTGTTATCCAATACTATTATATAATATTCGATATTTGTATTATCCTGTATTATAATTGGAGGCAATATATTTTAATTGTGGTTTTATCGTCTCCGCAAAAATTCGAGTATATATATATATATATATATATATATATATATATATATATATATATATATATATATATATATTCCAAAGTTGATTAATGCTAAAGTGATAGCCGGTAAAATGAACTATAAAACAATTATAGCAGCCTGATAGCAATAGGATAGCATGTTTATTCTGATAGCAATGAAGATTCAAACACTTTAAAACAAGGATGATCGAAGTACACATGTCCTTTAAAACGTGGACGAAAATTGCATGTTATGTCTAGCATACGGGTTCAACGTAACTTTACAACTCGTAATTCACCCGAATTCTATGTAAATAATGGATATGATAGTCAATCGCGTACCATGAAAAAACGTTTCTGAGAACTTCAAAATACAAATGCTGTGCCAAAAATTCTGATATACCTCCATTTGCTTCTTTCACAGCTGATATGTTCCTTATTTGTTTAGTCTTCTTCGTCTTCATCATCCTTCAGAATTCCCAATCGTTTGGCCACCGACTTCACGTTGCCGATAACCTCCTCCTGCACCAGGTTGAAACTCATCGCCAGAAGTGCAATTCCAAAGAGCAAATACAGCGAACAGAGAGCTATGCTCACTTTGCCGTCATCGTTCCTCACGTGCTGCGCGGGCACGAAATCCCCGAAGCCGATGGTGGTGAGTGTGATGAAGCAGAAGTAGGCCGCATCCAGGAAATGCCAACCTTCCCACTGGTGAAACAAGTAGGCCCCGCAAAAAATATACGTGACGACCAGGAAGACGCACAACCAGATGGGCACGGGTTTGCTGATTCGCTGTCCGCTGCTGTACGAGTCCTCGTAGTCGTAGTCCTGGTAGCCGTAGTCCATGAGGTCGTCGTACTCGGGGTCGTCGCGCA